CCACATTCCTCTATATAAATATCCCTCCATTTTCCATATCCAATAACTTGTATGTATTCACATTAAATGTATACCTAAGAAATACACATCTCCTTACTTTTAGATCAAACTTATGTATATTACTTATCAATCTTGAAGCAAAAGCCAGATACTCGAACACTCTTAAATGAGTGTATGTCAGCTTGGTTTTAAATAACAATTCAGAAGGTGTTTTATGTTTTTTTCGATTTAGAAGATACATCGCAGTAAATATAATATGTCAATTTGAGTCCACTTTGAAACTTCAGTGGCACTGACAATTTTTAAAATTTGTTTATGCTTCCTTCCAATCCTACCATTATGTTGGGGAGTCTCAACGCACTTTCTATGGTGCATAATTACTTTCCTCAAGTAAAAATCTTGCATATCAAATTCCTTCCCATTATTACTTCATATGATCTTGATCTTAACACCAAATTGTGTCTCCATCCAAGCACGAAAGTATAGCAAAGCAGGACTTGTCTCAGATTATTATTGAGTAAAAACATCCAAGTATATCTACTATATTCATAAAATAATAAAGAAAAAATATTGCTATACATCATATGACATTTCATTGCGATCTCCAAATATCATAATGCACAAAATCAAAACAACATTTAGATTTATGCTCACTAATTGAGACTAACAATCTATTAAGTTTTAAAAGGGCAAATATTATATTTTTTATTTTAACATTTCTTGAAATACGTGAAAAAAAAAATATGATCTTGTCAATGTTAAGTGTTCAAGATGACAATGCCAAATATCAAAATTCTGTTCTAGATTATCTCTAAGTTATGTATCTATGATCGGAACTCGTTGGTCTTTAGGAAAATGTGTCATGTGCCACTACAATTGATATAGACCACACTTCAGCCTGCCCATTCTAATCGTCTTTTGAGTCAAAAATTTATGTATTACATTAATTTAGATAAGAAAATATGGGAAAATCTTAGGTTTTTGGCCAACCAGTTGGTTAGTATCATGTTGAAATTAAAGAAAGGTGCATATAAAAGATTATTAAGGACCAATGCCTCTATTATTTTCACATTCCCATCACAAGTAATGTTGATTCTTTGTCTATCCAATAATAAAAGCAATGTTAATCATATCATTTGTCTATAAATATGGTGTGTATATAATATGATCTGAAGCACTTTAATCAATAATCTAAGGGACTATTCTTCATTCTTTTGACTTTATCGTATAAAAATTGAGGCAATAAAACATAATAGAGAATCCTGAGATATGGTTGTCTTTGCAAAGAGAAGGTAATAATTTTACCATGTGTGTTTAATAGTTATTTGTTACAACAAAGCCATTAATTGTGCATATTGTTTCTATGTAATTATCGTCTCTTTTGTAGTCCATGACTCTCTAACCATGGAGGAGTTCGAAACTTGATTGACATTTGACGTTTTTCTCTTCCCTTGTGATATGAGCCTTCGGGATATCCATGCAATTTGTAGCACCCTTCAGTAATATGCCCAAATATACCATAATGAGAACACATAAGTTTACTGGGATTTACCTTGAAACACCTCTCAACTGAGTAACCTATTATTTTACAGTGTGTGCAGTAAATTCCTTTCTTGATTGGAGCTAAAGACTCTAGTGCTTTTCTATCGATCTAGAATGCTAAAAGTCAAGGCTATTTTAGGTGAATTATTTGAAGATATCTCTTAGTGTTTCTCTTTTTGTTGCACAATTGAATACACCTCATTTAAGCTATGAAAGGGTTTTTATCAGTAACTTGTGCCTTGATATCGTTATATGATTCATTCAACGACATCAAAAATTTCATCACTAGTCTCTTTATTAGTACTCAACTACATTCTTTAACCCTCTATATGCACAACTAGGAACTGATTCATAATTAAATAATTAATGAAAAAGTACTTCGAGACTTGAAAAGTAAATATTTATAGTATCTTTATTTTTCATAACGTTAGCCATCAATTGTTTTACCTCATAGATTCTAAGAGCGTACTGTTGTGCATGCCTCAATTCCAACTCATTTTAAAATTGGTAAGATATATCAGCATAAAAAGTGTTACATTTGATGTCCACAGACACTACATTCTATACCTATGTGATGCATTCTATATAAATGTGATGACAATATCATTATATTGCAACCACTTCTCAATGGGAAGAATGATTGGGTATGTAGTAAGAATAAATTATTCGAATCATATATTATTTAATCATTGACTTGTATATATATTTATTTGCTAACTATTGATTTTGCTGTTGTTTGATTATATAATATGATCCATTCTAAAGAAATTTTGAAGCAAAAAGAAGGGTTAAAAGGGGCGGGTTTGATAGAATAAAGATGGTAAATAGAGGTGGGTTGATAAGTACAAAAAATTAGGACAGCTGACCAGTGGTCATCATTACTTGTGATTAAATCGATTTTCTTTTTATTATTTTTTATTAATTAAATTAAATTAGCATATATTTTTATTTTTACAAGTTAAATTATTTCTTTATTATTATTAATTAAATTGTTTTATTATCATATATCATCTCATATCATAGAACGGCTCGTGGTTATGGCTTGCAAGATATAAATAACTGAACTTTTATAAATTAATTAACTAATCTTCTTTTTTTCTTAGTAGTTATGGTAAATGCAGGCATTGCATGCCAATTTTAAAATATGAACTAAAAATACTATACAATGAGTACAATAATTACGTAGACTATACATATATATATATATTATATGTATCTGTGAGTGTGTCTAAACATATCCAATTGTCCAGCAATTTAAAAATTAAATAGTTGAATACTGCTACTCCAAAACCTATACATGAGCATACAGTAAATTTAATAATTTTATAAAATAAGCCTTTAGAAAAATCTTTTTGCCATGAACATATTTTACAAACGAGTGATGGAGATCGATTCATATTCTCATTAATTATACAATGTGGTGGTGGACATTTTCGCTTTTTTTTAATAATATATATAAGACTACAAATATAATATATACAATTGGCATTAATATTATAATTCCATGCTTTCAATTAAGAATGTTTGTTGCTTTTCCTTTCTTTTGTATCTCAAAGTTAGAACAAATCAAATAAAACTTTAATTTTTTACTGAAAGCTTTAATTTTCTTGGGACCAATAGATAATAAATATGTGTACATTTTCATAATATAATTCATATGTAACTGAAGTTATTTTATACATTGATATTTAAATATATTAGGCCATCAAAGATTATTGTTTCATTGGACATAAAATTGAAATGAGAAGATAACAGTTTGATAAAAAAAAATTTAAAAAGAAAAAGAAGGTTTGATCCTCTTGATAACTTGATCATCAGCCTAAAAGTAGATTAAGACCTTACAACATTTTTTTAAAATAAAATAAATATATTACTTCCGCCAAAATCTGCAGGAGTTATAATGAATTAATTAAGTAACAAGTACGTACAAGCAAACCCAAATTGAAAATAATGTTAAAAAAGGGAGATGATTATCTAGTAGGAGAAAAATAATACATGATTGAAGATAGGATAAGTTTAATATATATATATATATATATATAAAAGAAGAGGAGGATGATGGTGGGCAAATGATGTGTATAAAGTTAGTATAATATATATGTATATATATAATAAATGAAGATGGTGGTGACTGGTGCATTTACATTGAAATGAAATGGTTGGGTGATTTTGCTTTACATAATTTATATTCGTATTAATTATATAATAAAGCAAAAGAAACGTCACGTATACTCCACTTCTAATTCCAATTCCAATTCCATCAACCTCCTGTTTCTATTTGTGCTCTTATTCTCAAGTGCAATCTCAACTGGCTTCCCACTACCAACGCCTTTCTCTCCTCCTCGCCTTACCTATTTAGATCCACATTATTTTTAATATATTCTTCTTTCTTTTTTCTTTTTTAAAAATAAATTTTCAGTTTAGTTTAATCTCATTTTTTTATTCTCTTAATTCATACATCAAATCGGATTAGAGAGATTATATTTGCTTTTCTATTCAATATCGATCACCGTATATCTAGATATTAATGAAATATTTATATATTTTTTAAATTAAAATACTTACAATAAATTAAAAATTCAATCTAATTTTTTTATTTATTAAAACAATTTGTACATTAATTCCCTTTACTAACTTATGTAATGTACAAGATTTAGTAAGCACTACAAAGCTCACAATATAACCTTAGAATTTAACTTTTAATGTACTAATATATATAGCTAAAATTATAATCAGACTTGTAGTTCTTTCAATTATGTAATTAACTATGTCATAATGAATTATCAAGTGATTATGTTGCAATACAATTTAAATAAAACTGTTGTTGAAGTTTAAAAAAATTTTCCTAGTAAAATCTGTTTATCCAGTAATTTTTTTTTACAAAACAAGATTTATATAAAACAAATTTATTATCTATAGCAATTTTGCCATCAACTTTCTATTCATAAGCACAAATTAAGAGAGAGAACAAAATCCCCATAGAGTAATTTTTTAATCTAAAATTTGGTCACATTTGAAGTAAACTTACTGTTCATCAGTTGTCATGCAAAAATATGTATCTGAATAGTATTTATGTTACAAATATATATGGTTGCATTTTTCACTGTCACAGGTGTCAAGCAGCATCGAACGGCTATTTCCTTAGTTATAACAAGACTTTCTAGTCTCCTCAAATACAACCCTCCCTTAAATGCATACATGGTGCATGCACATTATATATGCAGCAGTACTATAAAAATCATGATATAGTTTTTCTTACAGACAAATATAAGAATCAAGTGGAGAACTTAATTAAGAATCAAATGAGAATGAATCAAGTATACAAGTGTGCAAATAGTGTATAGAGTTGACAGGTTGTGAATATGCCAACTTTTTCTTTTTGGCTGAAAGCAAGCAAGGCAACCCCGTTTGGTTACTATGGGTGACTACTGGATGAATATATTGACTTACAAATTTTAAAAAAATAATTTAAACAACTTTACACTAAAGACTAGCTTATATATAACGATAGGCCACCCTAACGAACGAGGGAACATAACCTCCAACAACAAACAGCGAACGAGGGAACATAACCTCCAACAACAAACAGCGAACGAGGGAACATAACCTCCAACAACAAACAGCGAACGAGGGAACTATTGTTAGAAAATAATCTTACACAACTCTACACAACACAATGGCTAATTCTGCAATAAGACAAAATTCTTATGAGGACTTAGCAAAGCACAGCCCATTGCTTTCTGCCTACAGACGCTTTGATCAGAAAGCTTGCAACTTTTGATCCACATGATGCTCAAGGAACATAAATTAATTATAACACGTTCCTTCGTTTCTTAGTCCACATGATATCTCACTTGTCTGTTCTTATCCTCGTCAGCCGAACCTCAACTCCAGTCCCAGATCTGACAGATCCCACTAAAAGGGATCCAAAAATAAAAATAAATAAATAAATAAATAAATAAAAGAGAATAAAAAAGTTTTACCTAAATTTTTAAGTCTTATTAGTGTACTAGAACTAAGGAAAAGTTAAGTATTTACCTTTGGCTAGAGTCTAATCTCTCCACCCATGACTTGGTAGTAGGCAAATATATAATGTTTTTCTTAATGCATTAACTAAATTTAATTACTACTCACCAGATGGTTAAGCAGTTCCTGTAATCAATCTTTCTCGTTGATCTATTTTTTTTACTTTTATAATGCCAATCAGAACTTGGAAGCTGAAGAATGCACAGACAATATAAGCTCCAATAGCTGGCACCTAAAGAAAGACAACTCTGTGAATCCGACAGCAGAGAAATTAATGCATTAATGAAGAAAAAAAAAAAACATAACTAAAGGGAGAGCTTACTTGTATAGAGTTAAGATACAAAATTGTTGCAAGATTTATTAGGCTTCCAGCAGCTACTGCCTGTTGATGTAAAAGTCACAAAAATCCAAGTAAGTATTCCTAGTAAAATGTTCCAAATTCTTTGTTCACTTATTTGGCCATAGTGGTTCCAAACTGACCAAACCTATTTTCCCTCTGACGAAAAAAAAAAAAGAAGAAAACCAACAGTTCCTATTAGTTATTAAAATTTTGAAATGCAACTTAGATTACTGCAAATGTTAAGGTTGTCATAGTACCTTCTTAGACACATTCATTTGTATAAACTGAAAACAATTATTCTACTGATGTGAAAAAACATTCCATTGATTTCGTGTTTGCAGGCACCTACTGAGGTATATTTGGAACAAATGAATTATTTTTGTAGAATTCATTTAAAAACCTGCATAATTAGAATATGTTATTCCAATTCCACTTGGAATTCTCTTGGAAGTAAATTTTCACCATATCTCAATAGAATTTTCATCTGCTTCTAGTTGCATTAAATGCATTGCCAAATGAATTTCAGAAAACTAGTTATTAGCTTCAAATATTTCCTTGTGAAGAAAAGAAAAAGGACACTACTAACACAAGAACACACTTGGGTTATGTTTGAAAAAATGAATTATTTTTATGAAATTCATTTTTGAAATAAGCATTTATTTAACTAGGAGGAGACCAAGTTAATATTAAAGGATATAAAAATTACTTTAAAAAAAAATTAACATCAGAATAGACTTAGGTTATGTTCGAAAAAATAAACTATTCTTGTAAAATTCATTTTAGAAATAAACACATCTTTAACTAGGAGGCAACGAAAATTAATATCAGAAAATATAAAAATTGTCTTCAAGAAAATTCTGAGTGGAATCTTCTAGAATGTCAATTATGACCATAATGGATGGAGAATTCATTGTCTCCTTAACTGTAATGTTTAAATGAGTTCCATAAATAAAGTTCATCTATTTGAAACATAGCTTAATGTAACTGTTCCTATATGCCAGAAGGCATCACAAACTCCTTGGTTGGCTGCTTTGTCTCCTCCGGGAGTCATTTAGCCCCTCAAGTTGCAATAGAACCCAAAAACCACAAATAGAACAAATAGGACAAAGATAGTAGACGACATAGATTAGTTTAATATTATTCATAACACTACTACCTATTACCCAAGAACACTATCTATTTGGATCACAAATATGTAACAAAACTTGGTGCACTAATATATTCAGATGTAGAGCATCAGACTTCATTACCAGTTTTCTAGCAGTACACACGTGTGAAAATAAATCAATAGAATAACTAGTCACCATATAAAAATGTCTTCCCTGTTTCTCCCCTCAATATTTTTTAATCAAACATAGAACATCTCAAGAACAAGCAGTTGTAATGCAGAACAAATAAGATTTGGGGGCAGAAGCAAGAAGTTGATGCAAAAAGGATCATCGACAAGCCATACTTACACTCCCTACTGTCTTTTGAACGACGGCAACACGTTGAAATGCCCTCTCTGATTCCAACGTTCGAACTCGAAGCTTCAGATCACCTTGCTCCTGCAAAATAGAGTTAAAAGCACAGAAATTTATTGAAATCACAAGATACAAGTCATTTATCTATAGAATTAACTGTGGTACACAAATTTCTGAACTTTACCAGTCGTTGAATAGTTTCAGCTAGCTTCTCA